CTTTTTTATTGTGTGTCTTAAGATATGACTAAATGATAATTTCTTTTTTTTAATCGGGAAAATCTCATTAGTAGTTAACAACTGAGTAATACATTCTGACTTACTTATTTATTTCCTTATACTGTGCTTTACAGCTAGGACTTGCCATGCTATGTCCATGAAGTCAAATCACCCACATTTCCTCCATATTCCAATTGTAAAGAGGAAGGTTCTATCAGATAACTTTTCCCCTAAAACTGCTTCTTTGTTAAATAAAATCCTATGAGTATACTTCCCAGAACACTACAATTCTTTAAGTCAAGGATCAATCACTATCCTTCTTATCCTCATACAAAAGGTGATAAACTATGTCCAACAGCAAGGCCTCTGATCAGGAGGTTTTGAGGAGTGTGGAACCACCTCTTAATTGCTGATATTCCCAGGTACACCATGACTCAAGGTGGTAGCACCTGTTAGGGTCCCAACTATGGGCAAATGGTTAACCTCCAAACTAGAGTCAAAACACTATGAAAGTGTAAAAATAGGTTTTAATATCAGCAATAAATTTTTTGAGGAGAAATTATTACCAGCAATACATTTTTGAAGAAAATAAATATTACCAGCAATACATTTTTTGAAGAAAAATATTATCAGCAATACATTTTTGAAGGAAAAAAATATTACCAGCAAAACATTTTTTAAATAATTGTTACCAGCAATACATTATTACCAGCAATAATTTTTTGAAGAAAAAGAAATATTACCAGCAATACATTTTTGAAGAAAAAAAATATTACCAGAAATAAAAATCTTGTTGGCATTAAATAACCCATTGGGGTTGATATGCACAAACTAAACCAAACCAAACCAAACCAAACCAAACCAAACCAATCAGAACACTACAAACTTATGGTCAAATCACACTGAGTTCTTATTTGATCACCAAAGTTAAACAGCATTGAGCCTAGACAGTACTTATCAGGGGGACTGCTTGTGAACTCCAGCTACTGTAAGTGACTTCCTACAATCTAAAAATAAGTTTCAGCTTTAAGTAACCTACAAAGGGTTGATAAGCTGTAAAAAAATAAATCAATTACTCAATCCAGAACACTATAATCTTAATGTCTTTAAGTGAAAGGTCAATCACTATCTATCCTCATAATCTTCAATTGTTTCTACCTCTTCTTACACTTATATCACATAAGTCATTCAGTAACTAACTATTATGAGTGGTTCTTGAGCTTTGTATTGGGTGATCTTCAGTAAAAATAAAGAAAATATTATTATTATGTAAAAATACCATTATGCTGAAATTTAAAAAAGAGTGCAATGGACAGTTGTGCTCTCAAAAAGGCTCCATGATTTGAATGTCTATTTGGACATTCACTTCAGATCTTAAGTGGCACTCATATATACACTTCATTGCTAAAGATGCTGGAAAACCATCAGCCCCTTTATACCCCCCCGAAAAAATACCTAACTCTTTCTGCCATGCTTTATCTTTACAAGAGTCAGATTTGATAAAAAATAGACTATTGCTGCCATGTCACTTTCCAGCCCTGAAAAAGTTTAAAAACGTTTATATATTCTTATGGAGATGACTTATTTTCCAATCTACAGCCTCTTTCCTCACAGTCTCAACATTTCAAGCCTATCTCCATGGCAAATGTTCAGATGTACTCCATTCTATAGTTCCATACATTAAATGTATCTTCAGACTCAAGTTCTCTCCAGACTTCAAGTGAAACTCATATATACAATCCATAGCTAAAGATGCTGGAAAAATGGTCAGCCCCTTGTACCACTCCAAAAAGTACCCGATTCCTTCTGGCATACTTTATCTTTACAAGAGTCAAATTTGATCAAAAATAGAGTATTGCTGCAAAGTCTGGTCTTTTCCAAATTGCAGCCTCTTTCCTCACGGCCTCAACATTACAAGCCTATATTTAGTCAATCACTATTTACATGGTAAATGTTCAGATATACTCCATTCTATAGTTACACACATTGAATGTATCTTCAGACTTCAAGTGAAACTTATATATACAATCCATAGCTAAAGATGCTGGAAAATTGGTCAGCCTCTTGTTATATGCCATGTGTGATACATATGTAGGTGATCATGTATCTTACAATACATGACTGATGAGGCAGATTTTTTTTTTCCTGCAGTAGGTTGCCATTTCTTTCTGTGGTAGACCAGTTGCCATCCAAGGCTATAGAACCTGATCTGTCCTGCTATTTACCCATAGCTGGGAGAAGATAAGAGGATTCATATATTTTCCACACCTTGTATCACTCCCAAAAATTCCCAACTCCTTCTGGCATACTTTATCTTTACAAGAATCAGATTTGATCAAATTGCTGCTAAGTCTGGTTTTGTCTTATTTTTCAATTTGCAGCCTCTTTCCTCACGGCCTCAACATTACAAGCCTATCTTTAGTCAATCACTATTTACATGGTAAATGTTCAGATGCACTCCATTCTATAGTTCCATCAGTTCAGACCTTCACATTGCCATTCTACAATCACGGAATTTAATCACCTGCATTTCCTCCATATTCCATTCATAAAAAGGAAGTTACCAAGAATTTTTTCCCAAGAAATTCTACTCTCTGAAAGGAACTCCAACACGGATGCTTTCTTAAACACTACAATCTTAACCTCTTCAAGTCAAGGGCAATCTATCCTTTTTATCCTCATAATTTTCAGTTCCTTCTAACTCCTCTTACATTCAATAACTACCTACCATGAGTGACTCTTGAACCTTGAATTGGGTGAAACTTACTAAGGATAGGATGTTGTGGAGAGCCACGATCAACCTAACTAATGAGCTTGTGTAAATGGAATGTAGAACAGGGACTGGGAAGGATAGTAAAAAGACAAATATTACTTAGAGCTACAAAGGATAGGAAATTGAGGAGGGCCATGATCAACATGCCTAACAAGCTTGTGTCAATGGATAGCAAAACAGGGACTGGGAAGGATAGTAAAAAGACAAACATTGTGAAGTGCTACAAAGGATAAGAAGTTGTGGAGAGCCATGATCTCCCTCGTCCTGAAAAGACACTGCACATAAAAGAATAACTCATTATCATTAAGTAATGAGTTCAATTTTCACTCAGTATTCTATAATTGTTGAAATGCTAATGTCTACTTAGTAAATAATTATATATATATTTCTTAATAGTGTTTATCTTCAATTAGGGCTTATGGCTATATCATGTTGAAACATCGGTTTCCATAAGATCACTGAAGTTAAGCAACATTGAGCCTGGTTAGTACCTATAGGGTATAATGGATAAATTGTTATCTAAATTATGAAAAAATGAAAATAACACTGAAATATCATTTTAACAGATGTATTTACTAAAATTACACAAAAATATCTTGAAATATTAAAGGGTAAATTTATCTAATAAAATTGCCATTGGTTTCAACTATGGCCTCCAGTTGACTTTGGAATCTCCTGTAACTCTTCTGAAGGGTCTTCTTGTTTAAGTTGGTCAATCCTTGCCTTTAGTTCAACTTTGGTATTACAAGAACTTTTTTTGGTCTCTTACTCAACTGCACGCCACACATAATAATCAAGGGGGTTACAGTCTAGGAGGTTTTGTAGCCAGATGTAAGGGGTGTTATGGCTGCAGAAATTATGACAGCCATGACTGGGTTCTCCTGCTTGTGTTGCATGGTGCAGGGTCCTGTTGCTAGATATAGAGTCTTCCATCAGCCACCCTCTAACCCAGGGCAGCACTACCTCCTCAAGGCACTTGATGTAGGTTCCTGTGTTGAGTCTGTGGCCCTCACAAACAACTCTGGGAGTTCTTTTCTTATCAGAACGGAGTGAGTTTTCCGAGCTACTGTACCTTCGTAATCACCATTAGACTCATGCAACTCTTTCTGAATCCTCTGTACTGTTCTCAGATTGACACCCAAACACTCTGAAATATTTGTATTGGAGCTTCTGGTGTGAATGCCAAGCAGTTCAACATGCCATTTTCAAATTTCTGTCACAGTGAATTGTGTCATGGTGCTTTTTTTTTTTTTTTTTTACAGATGACACCCAAATGACTGTATTATACTGTGCAGTTGACAAAATCAAAAACAAACACTGCACATGCACAAAATTAAAAATATAAAATGGCGACAATTTAGCCATCGCACCCTGTAGATAGGTTACTACTTGGGAATACCAGGTGCAAAAAGCTTGGATGTGTGGTTGGTGTACTAGATATGGATTGGAATTGTTAATCAGATAACCGAGTTCCAATTCCAGTTGGGTTCATAATATCCAAATACGGAGCACTTCAAAGTGGTGTAATGTTTAGCAAGTTTGCCTTGCTAGATCAATTATGACTGAATAGTGAGTTCAATCTTCACTGAGTGCCCCATACTGGTGCCAGATCTAAGCTATGCTTAGAAAATCATCATTATATTCACTTACATGCAAATATCCTTGCAAAGGTATGAATCTACCTCTTCTCCCCCTAGCTATGGGATAATTAGTAAGACATGTATCATTGAAATATTATTATCTCCAAAAAGAAAAATTCTTACAATCTAAAAGAATATTTTCTGGCTTTAAATAACCTGCAAAGTGTTGATAAGCCATAGAAAACAAATTAATCAATCTTCAGTCAGTTAATTTCTAAAATAAGGAAAACCATAATTCCTTCATTTTTTTGTTTAAATTCAACAAAATTATTTGACAAAAAATCTAAATTATTTTTTTTAGTTTTGATTTAAAATAGTTCTAAACTAATGAAAAAAAAAGACAGCTTTTAAAAATATTAACCTTGTCATTTAATTTTTAAAAATTAGTAATATTTTCTTTTAAATCACCGAAAAGTTAAGAGAGAATAAGAAAGAAAGTGAGAAAGAAGAAAGAAAGAAAGAAAGAAAGAAAAAGAGAGAGAAAAGAACGAACGAGCGAACGAAAGAAAGAAAGAGGGAGGGGACGAATTTGTGGTTGTATTAAAAAAGCGGAATCGTCAACGTGGCACAACTGCGGATATTAGAAGATGGCTGATTGGGGAGGATTTACCGAAGAAGATCTTCGACAACTCGTCTACCCAGGCAAGATAGACATGGGTAAGACGAATGAAAAACTTTTTGGTTTTATTGAACAATCTTGAATCAGTTTTTCTGATATAGTCTTTCTTGCGTTATTTTACTATAAATGCTAAATTAAGATTTACTTTCAGGTCAGGGAAGTATGTATCTTTTTAATTTCTCTCTACTACCTCAAGCCGACTTTTAAACACATTTATTTAGAGTGTTTAAAAAAGATTTTACTATATATGCTTAAGATAAAAATGTCCTTACTATTCTTTAGCCTGTAAATAGGTAAATGTTGTCATATTGGCAATTGGTAAATAAAATACTGTTTTCTAAAATGTTTACTGTCTTCGGTGCATGTTATGTCTGGTAACGCAAAGAAACTATTTTTGATTAATTTGTATTTAAGCGATAAAGATTGTTTCTGGTACTCTTATCTTTTATACATGAATCACTTTTTATTAATAAAAACTGCAACAGTTTCTTAGCAACTGGTATTGTAATTTTTTTTTTTTGTAAAAACTGCAGCCATGTCGGGTGCGCGTCAAAAAAAACTTCTTGAAAAGTTAATTGATGAAGGAAGTTGTTTACTTTTTCTTATTTAAAAATTGACCTTTTTTATTTTGTCAAGATAGCTTTGAAATCTTTTTCAGGAGTTGGAAACACTTTTTTTTTTTTTTTTTTTTTTTTTTTTTTTTTTCAGTGAAACGTGACTTATGAATTGTTTTGTATATATAAATCTTTTGCGGCTTTTCTTTTCATATTTAAGAAAACCATGAAATACTTCTAGTTTTTCCAAACAACTGAAAGACGCTCTGTAGTTTTTATGTAACAAAAAAAAAATGTCTTTGTAATACTTTATTGCTTTTGTTTCCTGTATATTTTTATTTTTTTTGAAAAGTACTAACTAGGTTGAAAGAAATATTACCTAGTCAATGGTTTTTGGCAAAACTTCTTGCTTCCCTCCCTCCCCCAAAACTACAATTTTTTTTTTTTTTTTTTTTGTCCTGGGATCAATTTCCCCACCCAACCTGCTTTTTCCACTAACCAAAATAAATTTAATAAATTATTTTAAATGAATATCACTTCATTATTTTTAGAAAAATGAACCGTCAACGACTGTCGGATCCAATGAGATCCGAAACATGTTAGAATGAAATATTTGTGGTAAATAACTCTTTTTTTTTTTTTTTTTTTTTTTTTTCTTTTTTTCTCCATAGTCTGCCTTATCATTGCACTTTCTCACCCTGTCCATTCCTGAATGTAAAGTTCTATCTTTCGAGAACTGCCTGCCTTTTTGTGATTCTTCTTACTCGTTTAACACTTGTTCCATTCATTTTTAAAGTTAAACAAATTACTTGCCGCCGCCGTTCCCTCCTCGTGGTTTCTTGCCTTCAGTTTTTCCCCTAAGTCTTTTCTCTTAACTCTGAAGAAAACCTTCTCCTCGTATCAAACTTCAGCAAATTATTTCTGGTCTGACTTTCCTCTTAGTTCCTTTTCTCCATAAGTTTGTTTCTCATATGCTCTGTCCATGCCATTTTCAACATTCGTCGGTATTACTATATTGTCACTTTCAAGTTTGTCCTTTTTTTTTTTTTTAAGAAATTGCCCAACATTCAGTCGTATAAAAGGCTGGACATTACATAATACTGGTACTAGTAGACTAGCACACTCCTGTTTCCAAGTTTTTTTTCATAATTTGATTACCGTTTCTGAAAAGGAACTTCGCTATTCTTCTTAAACGTTGCTCCGCCTCTTCATCTCGAGAGGGTTAACAGTAACACTGGGTTACTACACTGCCCCCACCCACTTTTTTTTTTTTTTTTTTTTTTTAAATATAAAACTTCATGTTGTAATGTAAAATATTTGTTTTTCAATTTAAACATTGAATAGGCGAGTGAAACGGCAAATCTTGTGGCGAGTTCTTGCATGGGAAATACATACGAAACCCTCGAGTGCTCGAACACTTTCCTAACCGACTGGAAATAACTTTTCCAGGCCATGTTTAAATTTGTGAAACCGTCTTCCCATATCTCACTTTTTACCTACATAAAAACTTTTAGGTAAATAAAATAACTCGATTGCGCAAGTGTCAAGACTGTTCCATAACCCCGCAATGCAAAGTGTTCGTGTTAAAATTGTAATTAACGAGCCTGACTTGGAGGCTTTCTATTAATCTCTGCCCAGACAATTTTATTTTTAACCCTCAGCAAGTAAACATTTTGATGGGGACTGTCTTCATAAAACGGCCATCAACAAATAAGTTAAGGTGTCGGATTCCAGCCTCAACGAAAACTGCCTTATTGACAATAAAACCGTGAAGACGAAAACGTTTTTGTTGGATCTTAAGTGGTTATTTAAGTTCCATGCAAATAATACCCTTAAGGTCTTTCCTCTCAAGAATAACGTATTTTAACGAGACTAGTTTTGCCCCCCCCCCCCCCAAATTCTATGCTCCTTTACTGGGACTCTGTGTCTGACTCTGGTTGGGAAATACTGCCTTGGTAGGAATTAACAATAATTGGCATTAGAGTTGACAAAATATCTCGTATCAGCCAAAAAAATGGAAATGATGAGCAGGAGAACCTGGTCAAAATGTTTAACTTTTTTTTTTTTTTTTAAACCTACATTAGTTATGTAGGTATTTGACAGTGTTCTTAAGGCAAGATTTATTTTAATCTATGAATTAACTTTGTATTGTAAAACTATAAGTGCTAGACCAACTGTTGTCTTAGAGCTTTCATCTGTCAGGCATTAGCCCAGTACTCTACTTTATTATAAGTCTCTCCGCCCTCGACTTTTGCAAGCAGTCTTCTCAGATAAACTGAGTCTCTAGTCTTAAACATTTCAAATTCCATGTTACTCAATAACTATATAAATAGTGAAAATTAGCATAAAGTACTGTAACTAACTTTAGGACTCCTCTGCATTAGAAATAAAGTTGGGATGATCAATGGTCATATGACAAATAGTATTGTTACACTAGTTGGTCCAATAGTTATTCCATAGATGTTAGTTAGCAATTTGGTTTTTTCTCTTTTAGTTTAAAATAGTTGCATATCTATGTATAAAATCACAATGATACCTCACAATATTTTTGACTTCTGCTTACTGTTAGTCCATTATACACCCTCTAAAATAGCTATACATTGACCGATCAAAACCAAGTTTTGTGAAGTGCAAAGAGGTAAGATGGTACAAACTACAGTTGGTTTTACTAGGGTGTGCAACTTAGCACAACTCTTATTTGGGTGGGGGGGATTAAGCTTTATTTAACATACAAAATACTCACTATTTTACAATTTAATTAACTCTAAATACTGAAGTTTTCATTTTGTTGCAAAAAATTTAGCATTCCAAAAAATATATATGGATAATATTAGTGAGATATATATATATATATATATATATATATATATATATATATATATATATATATATATATATATATATAATGATTCATTCATTACACAAGTTCTCGTGTTTCAAATGTGAGAGCTGAAAATATCAATAATAAAATTAAATTAAGTTAAAGTATCAAGCCCCATTTCATCCTCAAGCAAAAATTTAGGAATAATGCATCTTTAAGCATTTTCATTCGCAAAATTAATTACTATAGAAATGGCTGGGGGCGACCATTTTGGTAAGAGGCCTAAGTTTTTTTTTTTTTTTTTTTTTTTAAATAATTATAATTTAAGCCATAATTCTGTATGGAGCATTTTTTTTTTTTTTTTTTTTTTTAAACAAAAATACTAAAGGACTCCAGATTATTTACCTAACGTGTTTTCCTATTTTCTACATATCTACACACGCATGTATATAATACTGGAAATATCGCTTTCCAATGCCTTAACTTGCAAAGAAGCAATGGTATAATTGCCAGACCTCCTGCAAGAACCTGTCTCCTGTAGGCCCAAGCAGCATTGGCAGCCCTACATCTAATTTAACTTTCCAGAATATATCTAGAGTAAAGTCCTGATAAGTCTTTATAAATGCCCATAAATTGTTTGATATAAAGCAATATAAATGATTATAAAAGTACAATTGTTATAATTTTTCAGTATTGTAGGCAAATCCTTTAAGATGGCCATTGACCTTGTACATATCACCAAGTTGATAAAACCACTAAGACTGAGGATCTTGGAGAGTCCAAAATTCAGAATGACTATTGACATTGCATTTAAATTATTCATCCCAGACAATTAATTTTCATTCAAATCTATCCTGCACACTTATAAATCTATTGTTTGCTCATGTGTTGAATATTGTTGCCATATCTCATCTGGTGCTTCTACTATATCTTGATTTGTGACAAAATTCAAAGAATTGTCTGCAATGAAATCAATCTTGACTTCAATCACATTCTCACTGATGTGACATGGCTTCCCTCTTTCATGGCAGTTGTTTTTGAGATTTCCTCCTTGATGCTTCAAATTGAGCATGCTATTAGATTGGTAGCTAGGTCTCGCCCCTCTTACTTTTGAACTACCTAGGTGCAACCATATATATTCTCTTCCAATAGTTTTTCTTGCCTGTGAAACTTGCTTCTTTACCACCTACACTATTCATAAATTTAAATGCAATGCTAGTCTTCAAGAATTCTGTTTTGTTCTTTCTTCTCCCTAAAGTCTTTTGCTCTTGTCAACTTCTTTGGTCTTGACAGGCCCAGGGCTGGGGAGTTTGAGTCAGAAGCAGTTGGTTACTGGAGTCACCCAGTAAAACTATACAGTTTCTGACTCTAGTTGAATTTACGCTTTATGTAAAGTTTTACACTATAGAACTTGTATTTGTTATTTCTTATCCTGTATATTTACTTTTTTTCCAATAGTTTCCCAACTTTTGTCATTTTATTTTTGTAGTTATTTGCAAAACTATACATGTGGTTAAAGAAAAAACTTTATAGAACTTATTTTTGTCTTTTACATCCTGTAAAAGATTTTTTTATAAAGTAGTTTTTTGTTCTGTACTTATTTCTTATTTGCAAATAATACATAGAATCTACCATAATTCTTCATGTATAATATGCACTTTTC